AAGAAGAAATGTTCAAACAGCATTTTTCTGCATGGAATATAAACCGAGATATCGAGCCTTGAAAAACTCGATTTATGACGTCATCCACTACGGTAATAGGTACATACTATGTTATGCACTATCGCGGTGGATGACGACGTCAGAAACACGACTTTTCAAAGGACGATATCTCGGCGGTCAATATTAAACATAGAAAGTTGATGTTTGGACGGATCTTATTATTTTTATTTGATCTGCTAGAATAAAGCATAAAAACACAATTCTGTGATCAGCGCAACTGACTCATTGTTCGTTGAAGGTGAACAAATTATTCGTTGCGGAGATTTGTGAGGTTTGGAACGTTTTAGGACGAAAAGACCGGGAAAATGGCAACGAGGGGTAAGTTTAAATTAATGGAGCAAACAAAACCGCAGCTAAAGTGGATATGAGCAAGCGTAAAATATCGCGTGGGTTTCAAATCGATCACTCCCTCGCGTCCGAGAACCAATGATGTCACCTACGAGGGAACGTGGCCGCCCGTCGCCTCGCGTCGCGTCGTCGTGCCCGAGCGCGTTTACAAAACAGCTCGCACCACGCGCTCTATCATTTTCATTCGAGCTGGCATATATCTTCCTATACGGAATCAAACGGGAAATTGTTTGGACACACCTTTCTCAGAAAAAAAAGAAGAGGTTCTCCCAAGAAACTCGCCAGTTTGCAAGATTTTAGAAAGTGAAGGAGTGAAAAATCGCGACTACCCAAGGAGCGGTGATCGCGATAGGTGACAACACTGCCGTGCTAAGGAAGAACGCCGGATGAGCCTTCAGGCGTTGCCAAGTTTCATTCGATAAAAACTGAATTTACTGGGAAAATTTTGAATATTTTTTTCCAACATTTCCAGACAATTTTGTACGCAATTTACTATAAAATATCTGAAAATTTCAAAGAAAAATGTGCATAAATTTCGTCAAAAATACATATTTTCTCGAAGGAAATTTGGCAACTCTCGAATGTTCATACGGCGTTCTTCCTTAGCACGGCAGAACAGTGCTCCCGTTCCCCGGAACTAGTGCCCAATTTCGGAACTTTTAAGAGGACTTTCCTGAAATAAACTTAACTGAATTTTAACAGGAAAAAAGTTATTTTTTTAAAAAAAAAAAAATAAAAAATAAATAACAAAGAGAATTGAAAAAGAGAGAGAATTAGTTAAAATTAATTTAGTTAATCCTGTAATCACGTTAGTCAAGTTTAAAGCAACCAGAATGAGTCATGGGCTGTATTTTACTGAATGAAAAAAATGATTATTTATTATAATTTTTGGCAACAATTTTCCAAATTTTATTTTTACATTTTTAACTTTCTTATATTTATATATAAGGAAACGGCATTTTTATTATTATTATTATTTTTGTTTCTTTAACTGAATTTTTCCCGGAACTTATAAAATTTCCGAATCTTTTTGCATTTACCGGAGCTTTCTCGGAACTTTTGACGATCATGGAATGGGAGCTAAATTGGAACAAAAAAGTTCCGAATCCCGGAACTTTTGACGGACATGGAATGAGAGCACAGGGGCGCGATTTGAGCGGAGAATTGGTTTATTAATTACAGAGAGATTTATTAGAAAATGAACAAGGTGGAATGGAGCGGGGGGAGGGGGAACAGAGCACAGACCCCAACCCACAGGCTTAAATTTACAAAACTATTGAAAGAAAGAAGGGCAGAATTAATTAACAGGTTACATAATTTGAAAGGGCTGCGGGCCGATTATTGAAATTGATAGACAAAGCGATAAACAGAGAAAACATAGGGGGTATGGAGCTATCCTATTGGTTGAAATGGGTGGTTCCTATAGACTAACGAGAAAATGATGGACTAACTATCGGGTCTCTCGTGGGTTGTTGTTAGTTAGTCTAATATTACATACCTCGTTACATACATCGCAACCACCTGCTTCCACCGATAGGATCCCTCTATATCTCTTTTGTCTTCTTTGTCTATGGCTATGTCTATCAATTTCAATAATCGGCCTGTTGGTAGGGAAGAGGAGCCGGGATCTGAGTCTGAGGACATGGCATCGGCTGCATAGAGAGGGATTTGATCGGAGAAAGTGTCTCGATTTTATCGACGGCGATTTATCGCAATATTATCGAACAAAAAATCTTGATCAATTGATGTAAAATGTCGAGTTTATCGAATGCGATTTTATAGAGATTAAGTGACAACAAGATGGAGGAAAATCGCTTAGAATCCTAGGGATTTTATCGTAAATAATCGTAAGAAAATCGCAACTTAAGTGCAAAATATCGCGATTTTTCCATTGAATGAAGGCCATTTGGGTACACTGTTAAAAATCAACACATTAGCGTAATCAATTTCTTTATTTTTTTTTCTCTTCCAAATTCGATTCCAGCTCGAAAAATTGATTCCGATTTTTAATCGAATTCGAAAAGTTGATCTGATTTTATCGGTTTGCCGGCGCAAAAAATCGATTAAAAAGCTCCATCTCACGCAAAGAGGCGAGTACCGAGTATTTTGGCCCCTTCAAGAGTGCATGAATACTTCACGCATTGCGCGTAACACAGAGCGGTCACTATTTGTTCCTTGGCCGCCTACTGGGGTTATTTGATTTTTCATCTAGTGATTGTATAAAAACACCAACCGATGTATGTTACCCGTTGCAACACTGCAAAGTAACCATGTTTTACACGACCCAGCATGAAAATAAAATCACCTCTGAAAAGGTCATGCGGCTTTAATTGCAGATTCGTTATGAAACCGAAGAACGCCCGACAAAAATTACCCGATAGGCGTTGAGTGACAGAATGAGTGTTGTTAATCTCAAATAAAATCCAGCCAATTGCCAAAATGACTGTTAAAAAAATTATAACAAAACATAGAGGTTTGGGAACCTATGCCGAGCGGTGGTTTTTGATCTGTTAAATTTTTACATTTTCTGCTTACGTCATGAGAAAATTAGTCAGCAGTATTGAGATGATGTCTATCACGGCCATTTTCACTGTCCTTTTTATTGTGTTAAACGACGCATATTTCCTACGCAGTGATAGGCAAAAATGCTGTTAACAATGTACAATGAAGATAATACACAAAGATAACCCGAAGAATTTAACTAGAAAAACACAAAATAATGGGTGAACAAATCTAAAAACGGTACACGGACTTTATGTCCACTTTTTTTACGTCCACAGACTTTTCGTCCACAATTTTTACGTCCATAGTTCTTAAGCTCACACTATTGTTAAGTCCATTACTTAAACGTCCACTAAATTAAGTCCACAAATGTAAAGTCCACTAAAATCAAATTCAAGCGTCATATTTTAGTCCGTGTGTAAAATTATATTGACAATATCGAAATGAGAAAATTAAGATAGAATGAGGTGTTGTTATCGTAACTCATATTTTAAATGAAATGTTAATTTCTTCTCTGTCAAATACGTCCAATTTTGAGCGTTTGGTTGCGCTTACATCACGCTGCAGCATAGTAAAAGCCCAAAACATAAAAGAATAAATTTGAATGCTTTGGAAATCATTAAATTTGACACGGAACCACTAATATATTTACAAAAAACACATTATATTTTCCAGTAGTGCATATTTCTTTTTCATCAGTTTAAAAGTGAATAATCAATGCAGAGAGTGCAAACATTTCAAAATCATGAGTTGAAAATCGCTGACTCCGCGAGTTTAAATATTAGAGCCTAACACAGAGCGGAGCGGCGTGTTAGCAGCGCAGAACGTGCACTGGCGCCTACAAACCTAACGGGATACTTCACGCATTGCGCAACGCGTGAAGTATCCCGTTAGGTTTGTAGGCGCCAGTGCGCGTGTCACGCTGGTTGCCTGCCGCGCCGCAATGCTTTAAGCAACTATTTCGCATCAGAGGCGTTGCACAATATCCTACAAGATTGAAGGCGCACGAAATAACTAGTTAAAGAGGACTTTCAATTTTGACTGCATCTGTTACTGAAAAATGTTTAATTTGGCATTGGAGCGTTTCCTGGGCTCCCGCTTTGGTTTTCATCTTATCATATCCGTACAGTGTACACATGAACGTATGTTTTTATCTGTTCTTAGAGTCTGTTCTCTTTCATGACTTGATTCATGAATGAAATGTTTTTAAGAATGAAGGTAGTAGTAGTATGCATTTATTTTTGAGGTGGTTCCTGTCATTTAAATGAGAAGAAAAAAATGTGGACATAACATGTCCACAATTTGGATAATTTGGGACATATTCATGGTTGGACATTAAATCATGTGGACTTAATAAAGACTGGACTGAACGTTTAGTGGACATAAATAGCGGTTGACATTTATTTAATGGACGAAAGGTAGGTGGACATAAAGTCCTGGAAGCCTAAAAACAGAGACATGAAAAACTTGGGACGTTTCGAGGTGATCTCACCCCCCGCCTCGACCAGGGAACAAAAATAAAATTAACAAATAAATTATAAAAATCAAGATACCCTTAGACCCCGCACTTGCGGTGATAACAATTTGTCTTGATTTCTATAATTTATTTTTTAATTTTAGTTTTGTCTCCTGGTCGAGGAGGGGGTCGAGACCACCCCGAAACGTCCCAGGTTTTCTATGTTTCTGTTTTTTCCCTTATTTACCCATTGTTTTGTGTTATTTCTAAGTACAATACATGTGGCACATATAAAAATACATGTAGTGTCATACCCGTAGCATCAGTGATCAATCCTGCGACTTACATGCATCATCATGGAACATCGTACGGTGCACGTATCAGGGTTGAAGAAACTGTCCCTAATCGTTGCTTCTCTAACGTAACGTAACGTAACGTACCTCTGCGTAACGTACCTCTATTTCTATATGAGCCCCGGAAAGCAAACAGTTATATGGAGAGTAGGGCTCACGCGGAAATAGAGGTACGCCCTTACGTCAGAAGAGCGACGTAATGAGGGACGCGATACAGTCATGGGTTAACTTAGGAACTCAAAACAAATCTCCAAAGAAAAAAAATAAGATCTTACCTGCATTTTCACTCCTGTCCATCCAACGTGCAGGGCCAAAAGCGGAAGCAAATTGGGCGAACATGTTTTAATGAGCATGAAATTGTTGTTGGAAAAGGATATGGATTAGTTATCATCGCCAAACACCAGTTCCGAGGCCTCGAGGTTTGATCCAAGTACTTGAGTGAGATCGGGACGAACCCTGGGTACGGAGACTGCTCGATATTGTTCACGTCATCTTCGTCGTCATCATCGTCCTCGTCATCTTCGTCCTCATCTTCGTCGTCATCATCATCGTCGTCATCTTCATCATCATCGTCGTCATCGTCATCGTTCTCATCGTCATCGTTGTCATAGTCGTCTTCATCCGAGTATTCCAAGTCTGTGGTGATGATCTCGTTCGGGTCAGTGTGACCTCGATACCTGTATTCAGATACCGCTGACGTCATCATTAAATATGAGTCACCTTTCGAGAAGTTGTCTTTGGGCTGTAATCGAAGGGCTTCTAAAGGTTGAAGACTATATTATGTGTCGTGGTAATGGACCGTGTAACTGATTTGTTGGCCGATGGATTGCTGAAATCGGTATGAGAACATTCTGACGATCAGTCTTTTCAATAAAACTTCTGCTGATAACGGTGCGTTTTACTTGATGACGATATTATAATGGCGCCTCAGTGTGGGGAAAAATGTAGAGTTGCGATTAAGAACTGCAGAGCACCCGATAGAAATTTGAAAATTATTGATTTTAACGAAGCCGAGTTTTGATGCGTGCACACTCTCCAATTTTTCAGGTATCAAAATCAAGTAAAGCCGTAGGTATTTTTTTTCGTCGCCGCAAGTATACAAAGATATTTTTACCACTTTAGTTGAGAGAAAAATGCAGATGAGTTTCACTCCTAACTTCAAAAGGGGCTAGTTTGTTTCTCACATTAAGTACAGCACCTCAATCGACTGATGCAAACAAAAAGTTGATACGCGATTTTATTCATCCACCGCAGTCAGGGTTTATTTTACGCGTCTCAAAAAACGATTATACCTGTTGACGGATCGGAGCATCCGATGGAATCTGAAACAAAAAACAAAAAAATACATCAATATGCCATCATGAGTGCATTTGAGAAGTATAAAAAAATCACTGTTTTATATGAGTTCAATTCCTATGAATAGAATATATGGGTCGAGTTTATCATAAAGGAACCAAACCACATTTTTAGAAACATTGAGTTAAGAGTGTGTTTTTGAATTTCACTAGTCGTTTATTTTCTCCTGCCAAAATCTGAAAGTCGAAAAAAAGAAAGCAGTTTGTGAAAAAGGGGGTTAAAGTTTATTTTCTACATTGAACCTTATGCAGAAATAAAACTTCAAACCTCTTTTTCTCAGTTTCAAATTAATAAGGGTTGGTTCCTCTTTGATGAACTCGGTCCATATGAGGGGCTTGGAGGACAAGGCGCATAAGTGCAGTTTTCGCTATTTCGAGAAATAAGTACGTGTTTGAAGTTTCGAAATTAAATGGATCCTCATGGCGAAAAGGAAGTTCAAACTGACTTTCTGATGCTTAAAAATTGAATTTGGGAGCGATTTTTTCACAGAATATGCATTTAGACTAGGTAGTTTCATGCGAAATCATTAATATCTCAATTGTTTCAAATACTACACTTATGCGCGCCTTGTCATCCAAGCCCCTCATACTCTGTAAATATTCTTTTAACCCCTTTTTTATGAGTTTTGCTACGAATGCAGCTTCAGAATGTGGCTATTTACGTTCTGCTTAATTTAGTCCACTATACGCGGTAAATATCCTCTCTAATTTTCTACTTATATAAGGGCCTCCTAAGAGAATATTCAGACTGCATTTGTAATTTGGAACTATAATTTCTGGCTTAGTTTAGAAACAAGGTAAGCACAATTAGTTTCCCTCTGCACATATAGGTACGTGTTTTTACAGATGAGCCGGAAATTTTAGTTCCAAATTGCAAAATATAGTTCATTTGTGCTCTCCCAAGTAGCAAAATATAATTTTTTTCTAGAAAAAAAAATATTAAGAAAATTTATAGAAAAAACAAAGAAAATGAGAGTTATCCAGAAAATAGAAAGAAAAAACATTTCGAGTCAAAATTCTGACCAAAGAAAATAGATCTATTTCATAGGTCTACTATCTGCCAACTTCCCATTTGGAAAAAAGATAGAAAAATTGAAAGTAGAATTATTTTCTAGCCAATTTCTTAATGTTTGCTTTTAAGAAAATGCAAGGAAAAAATGTATTTTCTTTCTATTTTCTTGTGTCTATTTTCTAGATCTACTTTGTACCTATTTTCTTTCAAGAAAATTGTTCTATCTAGAAAGTAGACATTTTCTTGATGAGCGCCCCCTAGTAAGTAGATGATAATGCTACTTGGGCTCGCACAGGCACACTTTAACCTCGCTCACTATCTGCACGTTTTAACTTCTGTGTTTGTGAGCCGTCCTGTGTTAGTTTGTTGGCGATCGTCGAGAGGAATAGGTAAGTTTAAAATATTCTTGAAGTTTGCCACAAAATTCCAACGAGAGAGGAACTCACGGCGGGAACGATAGCTTTATCGACGCGTCTTACCGTCCATCGGTTCGCGAGGACCGCAGGATTTACCGAACAAAAGTTTTCCCTCGACAGCATCTGGGAAGTCACTTGAACAAAGGGCTCATTAAGGAGAGTGTTTCGTTGAGCCTCCAAGTGAATTTCGTTTCGTCGGTGAACGAATTTCCCTCCCTGAATAATCTGATGCAGATGCTGTTAATTTCCTTTGTAATCGATAGAGTACCTGTAGTGGAAATTTGTGAGAGTTGGCGGGTCCATTTTTTATTAGCTTCGCCATCTTCAGCTTCATGGAACCTCTAGGTTTAAAAAAATCAGCAGGTGTGGCTTGCAGAATGAGTCAAATGACAAAAAATGGACGAATTTCTGCTAAACGGAACTACAGACGAAAGGGAAAGATGGGGTGGGGGTGTGTTGTAGAAAGCTGCATAAGAAACAATGCGAAAGTGGGCGTAATTCCCTCTCGGGAAAAGAAAAACTGGGATTTTACTTTCTACCAGACGGAACTAAGTGCCAACTATGGGTGGCATTCATGAGCCATGGGCATGGCAAAAGAGTGTTGTGGACAGGGCTCATGAGTTAAATTGGAGGACGGACGACCGCAGCGGCTACTTCGTCGCCGCTGACGTCACTGGCGCTTCATAATTCCCTCTCATTCTTACTGCCTTCGACTAACGAGCACAACCTTTCTTTCCCACCTGTCTCTGGTTCCGTTTAGCAGAAATACGTCCAAATAAGGTTTCGTTTGCTTGTAATATACCTTTCTAAATAATAGGTATGGGATAGGAGCAGGTAAAAAATTCCACTGATACTAATTAGATCTCTTCTGATAATACGACTTAAAGTCTAGTGATATTAGAATCTCTCTACTCATCCAATGAGAGTAAAGAATCAGTTCGTGCGTGAGGGTGGACGCTCGTGAAAGTTGTGATACCCGATGTATCCGAAACAACTTAATAATCATATAAAAAATTTGAAAAATGATTTTATCAAGAGAGCTTGATTCAAAGTACCCCCCCCCTCCTTAGATTGACCTGAAATTTGGCAAATGGATTACGCTTGACGTACATAGAATTTCAGACCCTCAAAAAATGTTTGGAGGGGATAACGCTTGGGGCAGGATTAAACTCGAAACCGTCATATCTCGATATCTCGTAAGGGGGAAAGATATCTATGTCCGGTTTGCGCTAAAACCCGTCTAAAATTACTTAATTTAACATTCAGGAAGATATTTTTACCGGGTTTCCTTCATAAGCTATGCTCCACACCTTTAATTGTTTTTTAAAAATGGTTATCAAATTTTAAAGCAACTTTACCAAAATATGCATTTTTAATAAAAACAAAAATGACATAGATGAACTGCTCGCTGAATTACTCGTGGAAAAACAGTGGTCGTGCGTTCTGGAGGAACGATTCGTAATAAGAAAGCAAGTTTGCATGAGCATCGGTCGGATAGAGAGAATGAAGGAGAGGAAAAAAATCAAGACGGAAAGAGGAAGAGGAAAAAAGAGCGGAAAAACGGGAAGAGGTGGTTTAAATTTTGAAATGACGTCGAAGTTGTTGCTCTCATTATTTTGGAGTTGACGAGTTGCCTCTTGACGTAACGAGAAGAAAAATTCGTATGTGTGAGAAAATAGGGGAGAATCTTGAAAATTTCACCGGGAAAATGGTTTATGCGGGGAACTGGCGCGAGGCACTCCCGATCAGATGGACTGCGTTAAGCAGAAAGGAACCAAGCCACATCAGCTATTGCCAAATTTAATTGGGCAGTTTAATTTTTTTCATGAGAACGGTCGGCGGATTTTATTGCAAATTTCAATTGATTTTCTTAGTAATGCGAGGCAAAGTCCTTAAAATTTTCAAAGGAATCCGCACAGACGTTCTCTTGTAAAACATGCAAGGAACCAAGCCACATTAGTTATTACCAAATTTAAGTAGGCAATTGCCTAATTAAATTTGGTAATAGCTAATGTGGCTTGGTTCCTTTCTGCTAAATGCGGACCAAACTGTTATAGAACTCGTTTGGATGAGTGATTAAAGAAGGAAGGCGCTAAATCGGGAAGGAAATAAGCTTTCAGGAAAATGCCAATATTTTTATTTCATCTCTCTGATATTTTATTATCATTTATTATTAAGAATTGAAGACGTAGAATTTCGAAGAGAAATATAAGTTTCTATTTAATGTTCGAACGAACGTAAATTAATGAGACCGTTGAATTTCTTCTGCAAGATACCTATCGCAAGAGAGTGTCTTGCCAACGCGTTTCACGCAAAAAATTTATTACATCAATTCCTATTGTTTTGTATCGTCCTTTGAAATGTTGCCCTCTTTTTTTCCGGATAAGTTACCAGGGAACCAATTGTATACTACTCGAATACACACAGTTAGAGGTACCTATCCCTTTGAATGGTTTGACCGAACCCCTGAACGATGTGTTTATTTTACTTGTGGATATTGTCCACTTTTATCTCGCCTTCATTTTCAAAGCATCAGCAACAAAGCGGCCTTTGAGAGCACAATTAAAGTGGATAAAAAGTCCGTTTGAAAATCTCACATTCACATCACTCGTAAGATCTGATTGATCCAATAAAGATGATGTGAACTTAATCGGAAGTATCGTTCATCCGAAGTTCGCCTTCAATTTTATCGCATAGGCAACAAATATACCGAGGAGCGCGAATAGTTGTATTTTTCCGGAAAACACACATTTATCTCGCTCTAGGCAATATGATAGAACCATTGGACAATGCGTTGACCTCTAGGCAGATATCGTTCACTAGATATTTCGCCTTCTATTGCGCCGAGTAGGTAACAAGCGTACTGGAAAGCGCGAATCTTATCGTAAAACACACATATCGACGGCGGATGTCTGCAATCACATATGTCGTTTGCGGTGTCTGAAAATCTTCGCCTCCATGTTATTTTTTTAAGCTTTGTAGGAGACTAAATTGACATCATTCCTTGAAGTTTTTGCAGAATTTTCTTCGCACAGAGAAGAAAAATCACGGCAGTTGTAAAGAATTGTCGTTTAAAAAATAGAGTACGAAAGGAAATCTGCGAAGTAGCAAATCGAGTTATGTGATCACCAACTTTCACCGTCGATATCGCTCCGTAAGCTTTGCCCTGGTAAAAATTGGCGATAGGAGCTGCGTTTCAAAATAACACAGGAGTTCTTATAGCCGACTGAAAAGGGCGATAGAAAATCATATGGCTGGCTATAGAAAGTGGAAAAAATCATACGGCCGGGCTACATGAAGCAATAAAAATTATACAGCCGGGCTATAGTTCCTATCGCCGGGCTTTACACTTTATCGCCTGGCTGTTGCTTTTTCGCCATCGGCTATAAAAGGCTATAAGAAATTGTGTAGAAATTCGTGTGCTTTGTAAATCCTTAAGTTTGTACGGAATCACCTTAATATTTACAAAACGCACATTATATTTTCCTTTACTACATATTTTTTTCATCAATTAAAATGAGAATAATCCATACAGAGTGTGCAAACATTTCAAAGCCATGAATTGAAAAACGCTGACTCCGCGAGATTGAATATTAGAGCCTAACACAAAGCGGAGCAGCGGCGCACTGGCGCCTACAAACCTAACAGGGATACTTCACGCATCGCGCAATGCGTGGCTGCCCCCTGGCTGCCCCCCTGCCGCGCCGCAGCGTACCGCGGCGCTTGAAGCAACTATTTCACACCAGAGGTATTGCACAGTATCATACGAAATTGAAGGCACTCCAACATATTAGGAATGGCAGGCATCCTTCAAAAGTACGAAGCTTTCCTCGCAAATTAAATCAAGATACTGCGGCCCAAAAAGAGAGCGGTAGTCCAAAAACTCACTAAGTCCTAGCATCCGTAATTAGTTATAACGTTTAGCATACACTTTATCGCCATGCTGTTGCTTAATCGCCATAGGCTATAACAGGCTATAAGAAATTGTGTTGCCGGCTTTAGAAGCTATTGGAAATCTTACAGCCGGCTGTAGGTCTATGGTATTTTGGAACACAGATTCTACTGCCAAATTTTACCAGGGTGATTGTACAGGACCGTAAGCGTTTCCATTCCGCTAGTTATACGTTTGAGAGAATTGCAGCTTCTTTAATTTGTTCACAGTCTAAATATAATACTCCTCATTAATGATTTTCCATTGATTTGATTTTTAATGATTTCCGTTTAAACAACTCAGCTAAATTTTTGATGTTTGTTTTATTTTCCTTCCAGATATTTTGCTTTTTATCTTCACCGACAAGCCGTGTTCTTAATCAATATCTTTTTTGGCTGCATTTCTGATTACGAATTATTGTGTCAAATTCAAAAGAGCATACCCATATAAACTCTTCGACGAGCAGTCTCATAATGTTTTTCTTGCATCATATGTCTTTCCTTGATGCTCCGCTCAAAAGTCACTCTTTTATCACTCAAACTGGCAATATCGTGATACGTAAAAAGAACTTACGTGAAAAGGTCTTTAAATAAATTACTACTTTTAAAAAAGTGTTTTATATGTTTTTTTTTTTCAAATATTTTCAGGTTCGATAGACTCCAGATTATATTTTCAAAGTTCTTTTTAACACTGTTTTGCTCTTTTACGTAAATTTTACCTTTGGCAAATTGTATTTAAAAAAAAAAATAAAAAAAGCCTTGCTAAAACGAACATTTTAACAGTTTTATTAAGTATAGTCTCCAAAATTTAGGCAAGAGTTTTGTCTTTATTTTTTTTTTGACAACGCTGCTACTAGGGATATGAAATCGGGAAAAAATCTTAACAGAGATACTCTTCTCTGCGCGGCATGTCTGAGCATTTGATCGTGCGAGAATTGCGCCGAACTAATTCCGAACTTGGACGCACCAACAACGCTGGAGCGGGCTAGAAAGCGAACGGGCAGGAACGTGTAAGTGAAAATAAACAGAGCTTCAATTTGTAATGAACACGGTTTAATTTGGCAGACGAGGAAAGTGAATTGGATTCAAGCGGGAGGGCTACACAGGACTGAAAGAGGGCAAAGTGGGAGGGAATGGAATGGGATTCGAATTAGAAACACGAGAGCAGGCTCATGCTCCCGCGGCTAGCTCAGAGAGCAGAGACACCAGTTGCCCGAAATAATCCGGATTTTCCTCTCGGCAGCTATTTCCAAGGAACCTCAAAATACCCTCAAAAGGAACCCCAGACCTGACCGAAGTTTGTCTCCAGAATACTCCCGTGCTGAGGAAAACCCGGTATGGACCTTCAGGCGTTGCCGAATTTCCCTTGGCAAAACACTCATTTTCAGTAAAATTGTTGAATATTTGTCTTTCGATTTCTCAGATAATTTTGTTTATAATCTGATCGAACGTCTGAAAATTTTAAAGAAAAATATGCCTAATTTTCCTCAAAAATAAACATTTTATCGAGGAAAATTTGGCAGCTCTGGAATGTTCATTCGGCGTTTTTCCTTAGCTTGGCAGAATAGGTAACCACCAGAGCTATCCGTACAGAAACACCACTGAAACGCGATGCATTTAAAGTCACTGATTTTTCAAAGTAGTTCTTCAGTGCTTTCGTTAACAATTTGATGGTCGATCGATGAATTGGTAATTTCTAGACTTCAGAACATTTCTTCAAGAACTTTGAGCATTGCGTCACGTTGTTGTCCGTCAAGTATTTGAACTTACACAAAATTTAACCGAAAAACATATTGAAATTACCACGAAAATATCGCATTTTGCTTTGCGATATTTGATAGTCAATCGATGATTTGGTAATTTCTACACTTCAGAACATTTCTTCAAAAATTTCGAGCATTGCGTCACATTGTTGCCCGTCAAGTATTTGTACACACAATTTAACAGAGAAACATGATGTCTTTTGAAGTAGTATTTCAACATTTGTCTCAGTCAAGTACGAACAATCAAATCTTGTGTACAAATACCTGATGGAGATGCTTGATTGAGTTACTCCTGGGAGAAGACGAAAGGGATGTCTAGTAAAAGGGTGGCGACAGGGGATTTTAAAGGAAATAAGGGAGTACCAACACTGCATACTCTCCGAAGGGCTTCGGAAGGGTACACTGACAAAAAAAATACGGTCGATTTTAACATATACTCTGACACAATGATCGAAGTGTTGTAAACAATACCAGACTCTGTAGTAGCATTTACCATACTATGGTATAATATCACCAGAGCTCTGGTGAAAACTATAAAAATTCTGGTTATCTGCACTTATTAGTATCACTGTGTCAAAAATCGAGAGGACTTACGGTAGATTATACCATACTTTTTTTCAGTGTAGGGTACTGAGGCGGTTGGGCGTCGCAGAGCGCCAGACAGCGCTATCAAGGCGGCTCTAATGGTGGCTATCACGCAACTTCGGCCATCGATATGACTTTTCGATCCTTCACATTTTGGTAAAATTTATCAAATTAATGGCCATAAGCCGTTCATCTTCATCATGCCTATATCATCTGGATTGTAAGTACCTCATGTTCCGAGTCTGACATGAGTATAAGAAATCCATATTTATTGCGGTGAGTTCGGCAGCATCCCGGAAAATGTAAGTACATAAGCCATTCACACAAATTCATTCTCGTGGAGCACTTTTATAAATCACCTCCTCAGCGGGCTGATTGTTGAAATTGGTAGACAAAGCGGTAGACAAAGAAGAGAAAAATGATATAGTGGGATCCTATTGGTGGAAGCGGGTGGTTGCAATGGACAAAGGAGGTAGGAAATAGACTGACGAACTCGAACTCATGAGAGACCCTTTAGTTAGCCCATCATTTTCTGCTTTAGTCTATATGAACCACCCACTTCAACCAATAGGATAACTTTATACTCCCTATGTCTTCTTTGTTTATCGCTTTGTCTATCAATTTAAACAATCAGCCCGATGCTGCAGGACTTACTGTGATCTTAGGTCCCACAAAAAGCCTCTCCTATTAAATAGTTCGACCTCCCCCCCCCCTCTCCCCCGATATTGCCGTGAGTTTCACTTCAGCGAAATCTCGCTGTAAGTCAATCTGCGGTTAAGACAAAATCCCGCTTTAGTCGAGCATTTCTTCGGTCTTTCGACACCGCCACAAGGCGTGGTGTAAAAAAAACGACGGTAATGAAGAAACATTAACTTTCACGCGGACTAAAAGCTGCGTAAGTCAAAGAGAAATTTTCGGGAAACCGACCAAAATTTGATTTTTTACGTGGAAAATCAAGAGAGAGGAGCATAGAAAAAAGGAAGACAAGTTTCAAGAAAAGATTCATTGTGACGCATCTGTAATTTTGGAGGAAGCAAAGAAGTCCGTAAGAGCTTCAAAATGTATGACTATTGAGATGCTTTCATGATTTTTCGTAAGGAAACGGATAAAATTTGAAAATTCGCCTAAAACATTTTAAAATACTTAATTGATTACTGAAAAATTTTATTACGTTCCTTTAAAACATCACTCATTCATAAGTTACTCGAATTTTCGAGTTAATTTCGAGTTAAGTGGCAAAGCGGATAAGACGAACGGCCGAAATTTCTCTCGGTCCCGTGAAACTTCGACTTGGCGAGATTTGATTTGACGTATAATACCGGGTGACGAGTATCTATTTCATTTAAGACTGGCAAACTCTTAAAAAAGTATCTAAATAATGCGAGTAAAATTAATTATCTTCCGATTTTCACAAAAAAAATAGGCAGCAGAGAATTTAAAGCGAAAAACACTGAAACTACGATAAGAGAGAGAGAGAATATTTGTAAGTATCAGGTAGCATGTATTTTATGCGCTCCTTTTATTAAAATATCGCATTTCGGATACCTTCAGGTATATCTAAAAGTTGATACAATACATATTAAATACGATCTAAATACGGTACGCCACACTACACGTATGTAATACTTATATTTTGAAATACACTTTATTATTTTGCCGTAGTATTCGAAAGCAGCACTTAACTGTAGAAAATTAAATAAGTTTCAAAATTTACCCACCTTTTAAATCAACTGGAAGGTAACGGACAAGCACTCAGGTTTCCGCGAATTTTTTCGCAAAGAATTGACGCGAAGAAGAGGACTCGGAAAAAGTTACCCTACATTGAGTCATCAGCAGTGACGTGCGATCTACCACTGAAGATCTAATACCCCGGCCAACAGCACGATGAGTCTGAAATTAATCAAAATAATGTTCCGTTCTGTCTTTACTCCACAACACGCACGCAAATCTTAGGAATAAAAATCTGATGACTTCTTTATTTTAGTGAGCGCATCGATTCATTGGGAGTAAAATTGTTTTTTTTCAGTTTTATGTTAATTCCCCCTTCTTTGTTCACTCATGAATTCAAAAATCCAATCATCATCGAACTAAAAAAAAAGCACCTTGATAAACGAGCGATGAACCAAGTCCAAGATAATGCAATTATTAGGTCTTAGGTAGGCACTATGAAAATGGAGAGATGTGCGAATCTTTCTTGCTTTGCTCCATGTTAGGATGCAGATCCGCTATTATTTCTAAAACGATTTCGGCTTCGTCCTTATTTGATTCAAAGTGTGCGAGGCTGGGAAGTCGTTAGAAAAATCTGGTGGGACAGCATTGTCAGGTATATTGAGATTGAGGTATAATCACTTTGCTAGAAGCTCTATTTTCTAGCCACCCAAATCTTTGTAGGCTCCGTTTTAGCCTAGCATGCTAATTTCATCCGATTGGCGTTCTATACCGAAATGCGGTTCAGCTTCAGTTACTCGCACCCAGAAATCCGATTTTTTAGCCAACCGAAACGATTTACCAGTGTGAAACGATGAACTTCGTACATTCGACTGATTAGCGACGTTGATTAGCAACTGCAAGAAAGGGAATCATTCCAAGTCTGAAGAACGGCGAGATGGTCGTCTATTCCGAGCCTACATGAGTGTTGTACCTGCGCGATTTTTTGATTCTTGCCGCCGTCCAAACGCACATGAAAATCGCGGGATTAGGTCGCGGACGCAGATGCACGATTTTTACAATTCGCGACGGGGAACTTTCCGAGGTCCGGTAGAGGCCGAACCGGACGGTTCTCGAAACCGGTTCGAACGCGCGTATAGTCTACCTCCGCCAGCTTTTCACCCCCGACCAAAGCGGTAGAAACTTAGCTGGGTCGGTTTGCGGTCGCTGGTGCAGACATCTCGGCTTTTTTCGCGGGAGACGCGGCGCGATATTGAGTGTCGTCACAGGCCCTTGCTCGAGCGAACTAACCGCCAATGGGATCCCGCGCGACCCTAGGATCGGCAGCGCGGCGAGGCAAGGCGAGGCGCCGTCGAGCGTGCGCGCCCGCACAACAGGTAGTCCCGTCCCTCGCCGGCCCCCGCGCCCCGCGCCCCCCTCCGGGCAACGAGTGCAAAGAGCACCGTCCTCCTCTCAACTTTGCCCGCGCGCCTATGTGAAATCGAAATAGATTTTGTTTTATAAGGAAAATGGTGAAAAAGTTAGGAAATTCATATTGGAAATTGAAGCTTTAAGATACAGGGTTATTCAAAAGTCACGCACCACTGGCCATAACTTTAGTTCTAATCAAGGTATCGACCTGCGGTTTGTGAAATTTTTCCTCATATCGAGGGGGAAACTATTTTAGGTACTTTCCAGTTTTTTACCCCCTCGGGGGGGGGGGGCAACTTTAAAATTTCAAATGGCTGGCCCCCTCATGGCCAGTGGGATGTGACTTTTGAATAACCCTGTATAAAGAACTTCAGATAATTAATACAGTTTACTTAGAAACAGAGTCAAAGAAGGGAAAGTTAAGGAAACTCCGAAGGAACAGGGTATTTTGTAGGAAAGGGTTGGTAGGTCTAGAACCGAATGGACGTATCGACATATTGAACTGCGATTATAGATAGTCTCGAAAAACCCGTGTAAAATACACACTAATACTATAAGCTGTTATGAGGGATATTATGGGAATGCACACACACATACAACAAATCGCTCGATAGCCATAAAAATCCCCATTTAAACACGGCAAAACCCCACAAGCGATTGATTTTTCTCGAGATTTTTACATTGATGAAACGGCAAGAGTGATAGGAAAGTTATCCCCAGTTGATCACTGGGAGAATAATAGATCGTATTCGATAGTGGTGCGATGTATCGTTTGGTTCAAAACAATAGAACTGCGGACTGATTATTGAAATTGATAGACAAAGCTATGGACAAAGAAGACATAGGGGGTATGGAGCGATCCTATTGGTTGAAATGTGTGGTTCTTATAGACTAAGGGAGAAAATGATGGACTAACTGTTGGGTTTCTCGTGGGTTGCCGTTAGTTAGTCTATCACCTACTGCCTTTGTCCACTGCAACCACCCGCTTCAACCAATAAGTTCCCTCCATATCCCTTTTGTCATCTTTGTCTATAGCTTTGTCTATCAATTTCAATAATCGGCTCGCAGGGGGCCGTCCACCAATTACGTAAAGGGGGGTGGTCAAGAGGTGACTTACGGGGGGATGGGGGGAATCAAGCGCTTCCCTACGTAAGCCGAACGCCTGTTATTCAGAAGGAGGGAATTTCGTTAATTTTAAGACGGGCTAGTCCAAATTTCGTTTTTTTTAAAAGAAGTTTGATGTTTTTTTGTTAAAATGTAATTTATTCTGAACTTTTCGAATTTAAAAACTGGTTATTTTTTCAAAGCAACTGTTATTCTTTATGATCTTCTATCGGCGATCAGTAATGTTCAAAACTAGGTACCGATATTTTTCAACACCATTTTCTGGCGATCGGCCGATGTAACCGAAAATGCTGAATATTGCAGGTAAGTATTCATTTGACGTACGTTGTGGACTTTTGCGTGCAAGCGGAGAGTGTTTCCGGCTGCTGTCATCTGATGTATCTAGGTAACCAAAAACTCTGAGTACTTTCGGTAAATAATCACTTGCCATTGTGATCTTTGCAGGCAATCAGAGAGTATTTCCGGCAATCAGCTGATAAAATCGGCTGTCTCATTTTGAAATTAGGCATTTTTATGGCTTTATCATCATCTTTAGGGCCCTGTTATGGCAGAGCGCCTCAGTTCCAGCTCTGGTCATGCTGAGCGTAGGTTTAGAGATCGGAGAAAAAATATGTGCAGATTTTCAAAATTTTATCCATTTTGAAGTGAAACACTACCATAAATGGCAGCGACCTCCCGGAGTAATAGTCCAGCCAAGATGGCATTTTCCCGGAAAATCAATGTATAGAAGGTCTCTTTGCGAAAACATCCGTCGGCGACCGACGGTGTATTTTTTTTTTTTTTTTTTTTTTTTTTCACTTAAATCTCAAGAACAGTCAGTTCTACTAAAGAATGTTGTTAGATCTTTTTTACAGACCAAAAAATTTCCTTTGAGAAATACCATAAATTTATGAATTTGTGACTTCCGGTTTATGAGATATCGTGGTAGTTCTCTGCGGCTTGGAAAGTCGAATTTTGCTTGAAACCGCGCCTTTCCCACGAAATCTGCAATTATCTTCAAAAAGGCGAGTCTGAGGAAAAAAATTGTTCGTAATGAGATTAAAGGGCATACAATTTTCAATAGCTGCTGTATATGGCACGAGTCTCAATTTAATTAGGCGCGTCATGAATTTTCGCGGTTCAATGTGGGACGGCATCACTTTTTCTGATAGATTTACCAAGAAAATGAGCTATTTAATCCATTTACGCATATACCTATTTTAATTCTTCAATGCCCTCCATGTGCCCTCAAATATAGTGCGTATGTGGGTAATTAATGACCGACAGCCACGATTGGAGGAAATCTTATTTTTTTCCTTTTTAGTTTAATAGTAAGTAATTGACACACAACAAAGCTCCTTTTTTCTGATTTCGTGCAAGAGGGACAAATTAAGAATAATTAATATAGAGGAAGGAAGATATAGAAGATAAGAATGATTCATGCATTGCGCCTAACGCAGTGCGGTCGCTGGTCGGCGCGGAAAGCGTATCAGCGCCTACAAGAGTGCACGAATACTTCACGCATTGCGCAAAACAGCGCGGTTGCTGATCGGCGCGGAAAGCATATGGATGGCGAAACTACCAGACCACGTATCTCGGTTTGCGACGTTGTAGACTTCCCGTCGTAGTTTATCTTTTAAAGGGAAACTACTCGACGCAAATTCTTGAGATCTCCCGTGTTTTTTCTTCTCTGTGCAAAGAAAACTCTGTAAAAATTTCAAGAAATGATATTGATTTCTTCTCCTTCAAAAAAAATAAAATGGAAGTGGAGATTTTTGAACACAGCAAAGAAGATACGTGGTCTGGTCGTTTCGCTGTCGATATTTGCGCCTACAAGACGTCGGAGTACTTCACGTCTACACCAATTCCGACCGGTGTGCACCCCGAGCCTGCAACCCTAGATCGAAGGATTGTAGGACTTTCGCACCCCTATATCAGTAATGCACGAGAGGCATTCAGATAATGGAAATGGGAGGGTCTGAATGATTGTTTTATGGGTTCAGTTGTGTATGTGCATATAGCATCATTCTATGAATTATTCAACCTTATGCTATCTCTTTAGTAAGATCATAGGGTTAACCTTGAAGAATACTGTTCTAATATCACATGAGAACTACGTTCTTTCTACCTTTATCATGCATTTAGAGACATCACGGGTAGTGGGTGACAGGCCATAAACACGTAGGTATTTACCTCCGAAAACACGATTTTTCAGGGGAGTGAAAAAACTCCTTTTTCTTTCAGTTGAAAATATAAACGTAAAAATTGGTAAAAATATCGATAATAGGATACTTTTTGAGCCCCTTGATGTTTTTTGTTAAGTAAGGTTCTTATGTTACGGAATCCGGTAGAACTACGGAGGCATGCGATCTTCGTACTAAGGACTGACACCGGGTGTCAGTGACGCCCGGATCAGAGATACGTGTTTTTGTCATCGGCGATTAAAACTCGTCTTTCCCCCATTTTAAACCATAATTACAGTCAAACGGTGAATAAAGCTTAATTAAGGTAATTCGGCGATTGCCATTTTTTGTGTCAGAGCGACGCACGATATATCGCATCAATTCGTTCCATAATTTCAGCTACTCGTCATTTTTTCCGAATTTTGAGATCGCACCTCTGTTGTCGTGAGACTAAAGAATCCATGTACCAAATTTGACAAAGAAATTCAACGTATTAAAGGCAGCGAGGGGTTTTTCAGAGGAAAAATGTCGCATTCGAGTGCTGTTTTGATATCAGTATCGAATGCGATATTTTTCCTCTAAAAACCCCTGTCTTTAGTACGTTGAATTTCTTTGTCAAATTTGGTATATGAATTATTTAGTCTCATGACAACAGAAGTGCGATCTCAAAATTCGGAAAACAATGGCAAGTAGCCGGAACTATGGATCGAATTGATGCGATATATCGCACGTCGCTCTGATACAAAAAATGGCAACCGTCGAATCACCTTAATTAATCGAATTCCTGTTTTCGAAGTTACAAGATAAGATGCGCCTTCACTTTAGGAGGTATGCAACTTTTGAATGTCCGCTTTGACGCTCTTGTCTGCTCGGTAATCAAAGGCAAATTGTTGCGGTTTGGCTTTAGCTGGTATACGCTAAGCGAACAAATGGAGAACCAGTAAGCTCTAATACTTGTATTCAAATTCTTATTCAGTGATGTTGAACCTCCGCAAGGTTTTGAAACGGGATTGGATTTATACGGTTGTATTTAGAGAGATGCAGAGGTGGTGAATTCTGGATGGGTAAAATGGGGATTCCAAGATTAGAGGAGAGTACAAGAAGGTGGAGGATCTACATGGGAAGGAGGTAGATATATTATGGGAATTTTGGATGGCAATGGGACAGCAATAACATGTAAATCCAGTCGGACTGTTAAAGAGGAAAACTATAAATGGGAAGTGAAAACCGGAAATAGGAAAAGAAAACCGGAAGTAAGAAGTAAAAGCTGAAAGTAGAAGGTAAAAACCGGAAGTGGGAAGTAAACATTGGAAGATGAGGGTGAAAACCAGGGGTGGAAAGTGTAAACTGCAAATAAGAAAAAGAAACCGGAAGTGGAAAGCAAAAAACGGAAATACGAAGTTCAAACCGTAAGTAGGAGCGGTGAAGACCAGAGAAGAAAAGCGAAAAACGGAAGTTAAGTTGGAAATCGGTAATAGGAAGAGAAAACAGGAAATGAGAAGGGAAAACCGAAAGTAGATGCTGAAAGGTTATAGGACATTTCGTCAACGATTTTTTGTCCGCGCACCTGTT